CCCCCCCCCCCCCACTCCCCACAGACTCACCTGAGGCAGGCCAGCCGGCCAGGGGAGGCCCCTGAAAGTCATGGTAAATCTGCCGGAGGCTCACATCTAATAATGGAGGAACAGCTGGCGTGGATGCTTCTATTTAGAACAAAGGTGCCCACAGAAAAAGGAGAGAAAACATTGCCTCTTTCTTCCCCTCCAGCTGACATGGGCGAACTGGTTATAGTGTGTGATCAACCACTTCTCCCCTCGGAGATAAAAGCTGGCTTCTCCTTGTTCTGGCTTCTGTCGCCCCTTCAAAGCACCCCCAGAAATTGGATGAGTGTGTCACTGGCATCCCTGAGAGACAGGCTGGATTCCTCACCGCCGCAGCTGGAACGAGCCAACCATTGCATGAGGTCACCCCATCGGTCTGGCTCACGCCCTCGCCCTGATCTTCGAGAAGGCCATGAGGTATGTACGTTCCTAACCAGGAACAGCCTGTAGGAGGCTGGGCCCGTGTCTCATCAGGATTCTTGGCCAGAGGGGTTAGAGCGGTCCCGTGCCCTCCACTCTGTCAGCGTGCCCAGGAGAGGCTCAGCTGTGACAGCTCAGCTACCCGGACCTTTAAAGAGTGCCAGGGGCACCTGGGTGGCTCAGTCGGTTAAGTGTCCGACTCTTGGTTTCACCTCTGGTCATGATCTCACAGTTCGTGGGTTCGAGCCCCGCCTCGGGCTCTGTGCTGGCAGCATGGAGCCCGCTTGGTTTTCTCTCTGTCTCCCTCTCTCTCTCTCTCTCTGCCCCTCCCATACTCTCTCTCTCTCTCCCTCTGTCTCAAAATACATCAATAAACTTAAAAAATAAATAAAGAGTGCCAGCCACGTGTGCAGCTCTGTGCCAGGCACTCTGTGCTAAGACACAGACCCTGAATGCTCCCAAGGGCTTGACAATTCACGGCTAGCGACAGTCGTGACTGGTGACAACTTAAGGAAGTATACAGGCTTTGCACCCAAACTTGGGTTTGAATCTGCACTTCCCCACTCGCCAGCTGTGTGTCCTTAGAGACGTCTCCTAGCCTCCCTGAGGCTCAGTTTCTTCATCTGTAAAGTGGGGGATAATAATACCTTCCATCCAGGATTGTTATGAAGTTTAACTGGTGCTTTCTTTACTTGTATTAGTATGTGGTTTTTTTTAAGCATGAAATGTTAGAATAGAGGTAAAAACACTGCACTGAGAGAGAGAGAGAGATTCCCACTAAGTGAACCCAGAAATCTACCCTAGAAGAGATAACCTTTGCCCTGAAAAGTAAGCAGGGAATTCTTCAGGTAGAAGAGGTGGGGGAGGGGGCATTTCTAGCAGAGGAAACAGGAGGGGCAAAGTCACGGACAAGGCACGAGCTGTGGCTGCACGTGGCAGGAATTGGGACAGGGAGGCAGAGGCCGAGCCTCCCAGACGGCCTTCAGCCCTCAACTCACCCAGGACTTCTAGGCTGTTCACCTGCTTCTGGCCATCCACCCTCAGAGACCCTGAGAGAAGCCGAAGGAAAAACTCCTAACCCAGCCTAATCCCCTAGGCCCCTTGCTCCCATTTGACCTTCCAGAAACACCCAACACAGGTTCAGTCTTCAGCCACTCCACGCCTTGGCCCGTGCTATTCCTTCTGCCAGGAGCACCTACTGTCCCTGCAAACTCTGATCATTCTTCCCTTCTCATGTCCTTCTGGGAAACTTCTGTGGCCACTGCCCTCCCCCTCCCCCTCCGCCACCTCTCTTCCTGTGGCTCCACAGAGGAGCATGGAATCTGGAGGCAGCCGGACCTGCATGCCACTCCCTGCCCCACCAGCTTCATCTGTATTCTACGTGACAGTAGTTAGTGCCCTGCAGGGGCGCCGGGATGGCACTAAGGGACATCCGTCAACGCTCTTAGCTCGGTGTGGCTGAGCCCTCGCGATGTTCTAGCCATTCTTCTTTTCCCCGCACAGAACGTGCTGGGTTTCCTACGCTCCTTATGTGCCCAGCTCTTTATGGCAGGGGACTGCGTGTGACTCATCTCTGAGGCCCCCTCCCTACTCCCAGGACATTTGCTGAACTGTAGGGAAAACAGAGAGGTTGCACCAAGTAGGGGAGCCCAGACATCTGAGCCCCACCTGACAGTTTTATCATCGTCCAGGGCTGCTCCCTCCACGGCGAGGTGGGGCTGGGCAGATCACAAAGGTCCGGCTGGATCAAACCCAGGCCAGCCCTCAGTGCATTGTGACCGGAGCTTTTATGAGCCTCATTGCTCAGTTATAAAAGCCAACTGGGTCCTGCCCCGTAGAAAGAAAACATCTATCAAAGGCTCTGAGTTGGCCACAACTGGATTAAGTATGTTTGCAGCTTCCAATGTGAGCTGTTTGCAAATCGCCCGAGAATAATGAATGTCGCAGAGGACTCAGCAGGTCACTGGGGGAAGGCATCCGAGACCCCTCGGGACACTCCCAGGCACCGGCACGATTCACTCTGCCTCGGGGATTCCCAGGGTCGGGGAGGGATAAAGGGGCAATTTTTTCTCATCATTAAAGGGCAGCTGGTTGCCTCTGGGGTGGAATGCACTCTCTGTTTAACAGGGTAGAGGGTGACAGATTACAGCCGCTTGGGAAGAAGCATCCCATATCTAATTGAAAATCCCAGGGGAACGTTAGGTGGGTCATCGTAATTACCCAGATTGGAGCAGGGCCAACAGGGTTTGATTCTTCAGCTCTGGCTGTGGCAGGACAGCGTGTCTGTGCAAAACCAGTGGCTTAAAAATTCCAGGAAGTAGAACAAGGGTTAGGAAGATGTCAGTGGGCGTTTCCCCTCGTTGCTGACGACAGCACCCGGGAGGGACCGTTTTGATCTCCAAAATAGCCCTTCTCCTGACTCACCCTGATTCACTGAGCCATCACTGTGACACTTCTCTTCTCTCCTAAAGAGCCCCCTGGGAGCTGATAAATGCCCTTAGCTTTGAGTCAAGGCAAGGTGGCCACGGCAAAGAGACACCTGTGCCCTGTTCTTCAGTTAGGGAGCCCAGAAACGGTCATCCTAACACCCTGCCAGCCCTTAGCACAGCATCTGCCCTCCGAGGGCCACCCAAGAAGCACCAGGTGAGCGCAGAGGACCCGCTCACAGACCTCAATAAAAATGCAAGTTACATGTATGGAAAGCTTACCGTGTGCCAGACCCAGTGAGTTATGTGAGTTATTTTAGCCTTGCAAGCACATTATGAAGTGTTCATTTCACGATCTGTAGGGTTGAATTTGAATTTCTGGGACTGAGGTGACCCCCTCCCCGCCCCCAGGCCCCCAGAGCTGGCAAGTCAGGAGGCTCGGCGCTGGCCTGACTTGGAGCCTGTGCTTTCCACCAGGCCACATTGCCTCCGCAGCCCATTCTCAGCTCTGCAGGCTGGGCCAGGGGAGTGGAGACAAGACAGGCCCATGCCTGGCCCCCTGCCGGCCTCCCGACCAGTCCCAGGACATCACCCAACCCTCCCCTCCCTGGGCTTCACTTTTGTTGGTGGGGAACACGGGACTAACAACTGTAGGGATAAGTAACATCTCCCGATTCTGCGTCCTCAAGAAAGCAGAGCCGAAAGATTATTTTTGCAGGCTAGGACCCTCCCCTCCAGATAGGGAGCCAAGTGTTCGCAATCGTAGACAAATAAGGACAGGCCTCAAATCACGTCACATGGGTGTGACGCCTGTGTTTGCCCAAAAGAAACATGCGAGGTTTCTCAGTTGCCCCACGCAGCCCCGGAGAGCTAAATGTGCTCAGGCTTAGCGTGGATAAAGTCCCAACGAAGTCACATAGAGATGGGGAGGAAGCAACGCAGACCTTCTCAGGGCCCTGAGGATCCCAGCAGGTGGCCCCCAGCTCCTGTCCCTCTCTTCCCTCCAGGGACACAGGAGAGGAAACAGAACACCAGTTTGAGAGACAGGAGTCTGGATTCTCCCTCCATACCACGACATCCAGCTGTATCTTTTCCTTATATTAACCCATTTCTTCATTATTCAACATAAGCAGATGGATGTTTATTTAGGCTAACCCAAAGCACACTTGAGTTTTATCTTTTTGTTTTTTAAATACAACTACAGATTGTCAGCTTCATCCTTTCCATGTCAATTAAAAATTTATATATTTTGGGGGCGCCTGGGTGGCTCAGGTGGTTAAGCATCCGACTTCGGCTCAGGTCACGATCTGGTGGTTCATGAGTTCGAGCCCTGCCTCGTGCACTGTGCTGACAGCTCAGAGCCTGGAGCTGCTTCGGATTCTGTGTCTCCCTCTCTAGCTCTCTGCCCCTCCCCCACTTGCACGCACGCACTCTCTCTCTCTCTCTCTCTCTCTGTCAAAAATAAACAAACATTAAAAAATTTCATTTTTTAATGTTTATATATTTTGGGCCTCCTTTGGGAGTCCAGGCTGGTTCTACGTTCACTGCCCCCAATATGCTCTCCTGAATGCCATGGTGAGCAAGCACAGGGTCGTGGAGTGTTGGAAACGAAGAGACTTCCCCTCTTTTCCCACATGATGAAACAAAGGCTGAGGGAGGTGCTAAGAGCCACCTAGACCATAGGGGCTGTTAACCAAATGTCCTGCCCAGGGCACCATCCACTCACCAGGGTGAACCCAAGTGGGGGGTCTATCTACTCACCAGGGTGAACCCAAGTTTTTTTTTGTTGTTTTTTTTTAATTTTTTTTTCCAACGTTTATTTATTTTTGGGACAGAGAGAGACAGAGCATGAACGGGGGAGGGGCAGAGAGAGAGGGAGACACAGAATCGGAAACAGGCTCCAGGCTCTGAGCCATCAGCCCAGAGCCTGACGCGGGGCTCGAACTCACGGACCGCGAGATCGTGACCTGGCTGAAGTCGGACGCTCAACCGACTGCGCCACCCAGGCGCCCCTGGGTGAACCCAAGTTTAAGAGACATTGGGTTTAGTAGGGTTTGGGGTTTTTGTTGTTGTTGTTGTTGTTTTACGTCGGGACATCTCAGAGCTTTTAATTAGGCCATGCACACAGTGATGCTCCCAGAGGTACAGGGTTCATATGCAGGGCTTCCTAGACTTATTAACCAAAGATCTGTCACTCGCAAAGCCCCACAGAGAGCCAGTGATCCCCAGACACCCCCAGACACACCAGCACCACCGCACTGCACCTGCTGGAAAGACTGCTCTCGGGATCTGTGTGGCCACACAACCTTGGGGCCATATGCTCCAGCATTCTGCTACCCCTCCTCTGCCTTGCTCTGGAGTTGTTCCCAGGTGAGCCTAGCTAAAGGCGTGTACAGTGCCCTGTTCACCCGAGCACCCCCACGGCCTCCGGCACAGACCCAGAAACCTACAGGGCCTGTTGACTAACAGACGCAAATGCCGTGAGATGGGAATTATCCCCAACCACTCGTTCAAACTTCAGCAAAGGCCACACAGCACTTCTCTGGGGCAAGCGGTTCAACGCTGAGTATTCTCCACTCTCCTTCTCACCATTTCCTCAAAGAAGCTTCCAGATTCGAGCTAGGAGCCTGAGCGGCTCGCGCCAAGCAACAGCCGTCCCCTGTACGCTCATACGCCTATAGGATACGGAACAGCAGCAGCTCTAACGATAACATTTCTCGTCTAACCCTCACAGAAGCCCTACGAGATGAGACTCTTATCCCCGCTTCATAACAGGGAGACAGGCTCGGAGAGAAGAAAGGGACAGAGCCGTGACTCACGCCCAGGTCTGCTGACTCCGAAGCCTGTCCTCTTACCCACTCTCTTCGTCGGGACAGTAAGGGAAGGTGTGCAGGGGTGCCCTGAGCCAGCCCGGAGGCGGTAAGTCCCTGGTGTTCAGAGAGAGCGTGTTCCTGGAGACTATCCTGCCCCGGTTTTGAGCCCTGGAGCCCGTGAAGGCTCAACCTGCAGAACCCAAGAACCGAAGGGCAGAAGGGACTTCTCCAGTGGATTCCATCTGAGGTCTGGATCCCTTCTCCAGATCCTAAGTCTGGCACGGAAGGTTCATCTCCTGCTCCTCTCCCCCCACCCCATCTCCTTGTCCTGGACTGATGGTCAGAGTATATGCCCAATGTTGTCAGTCTCCCGGGTTGCCTGGACGTCTGACCCACTGTGGGTATGAGCCTGACCACCTGCCTGACCTCTTTGGAGGGGTCTTCTGCAGGTCAGCCTGCCCAGTGGCCAATCCTGCCTGCAGAGGACTATACCCGGGTGAGGCCTCAGATGGCGACAGGCAGACTGACCTGGCAGTTAGTTCCAGAAGTTCTAGAACCATCTGAGGAATAAGTAAGCCCTGTGAACCTTCGAACCTGTTAGGTGAAAGTAACATTAAATGCACTGGATATTAAACATGTTAACACAAATCCTGGGCTTCACTTTTTAAATTGGTGTGAATATTGTCACCTTCTCACCTGCTACATGCCAAACATATATTATAAAATCTGAAAGCAACACTATGAGGCATGGACTGTCCCCACTTTGCTTCACAGATGAGGCCTTGGAGGTTCAGAGGGCTTAGTACCATGGCCAAGGTCACACAGCATGAAAACAGCATAGCTGAAGTTCAAATCCAGCAGGTCTGTCCAACTCCAAAGTCCAGACTTCCAGCTTATCAGTGCAAAACTCGAATGGCCCCGTGCTGCTGTGTATCCTGCTACCCCAGTAGAGATTTTATGTTATAAAAGTAGAATCATGTCGGGGCGCCTGGGTGGCTCAGTTGGATGAGCGTCCGACTTCGGCTCAGGTCATGATCTCGTGGTTCGTGAGTTCGAGCCCCGCGTCAGGCTCTGTGCTGACAGCTCAGAGCCTGGATCCTACTTCCAATTCTGTGTATCCCCCCCGCCCCCGCCCCTCTCCCGCTCGTACTTTGTCTCTCTCTCTCTCAAAAATAAATAAGCATTAAAAATTTTTTTTAAAAAATATAGAATAATGTCAGCACCAGGATAAACACAACATCATGAGGAATGCAGAAAGATCCAGACAGTCCTGAGCCTGATTCCTAGCAGCATTTCAAGTTAGCTGTGTGGACTTAGGCAGCTCCTTAGCTGCCCTGAAGCCTACCTATGAAGTAAGAATAATAATTCTTGCAACCGGGGTACTACGATGGTTGAATAGGATGCTAAGTTCCTGGTGCATAGTAGTTGCTCAATAAATATGCATTCAGCAAGTATTTCCTGAGCACCTACTATGTCACAAGGGCCCCTGGAGAGTGAGTGACCTGGCGCCATGTTCTGCCAAGCAGTGACACCCCTCCCTTTTCTGCTCATGTTGGGTCCTTTCCCAGAACCGCCTTTCAAAAGAAAGATCAGAATAATCAGGACTCACGGGAAAAGAGCCTTTTTCAGAATTTTGATGTGGTCATTGGGGTTGTAATAAGCAGGTCCCGGGCCCGTTGATGTCAGTTTTAATCCACGTCCAGTTTTTGATTTAAAACAAGACGTCAATACCTTTGGCGACTGCTTCATGAGGGATTCGTTGATATTATAATGCCCTAAGAAGAAAGACATTTTAAAACAGAGTAAGGAACTCGCCCCAAATAAATAAAAAGCAGTACCTTACACCTAAGAATACATTTAATGACTATAAGGTGGGATCACTCCAAGATGGTCAAATGGGAGGGCTGCCTGAAAAATAATACCCTTTATTTTTTATTTTTTTTTTTAAATGTTTTCATTTATTTTTGAGACAGAGAGAGACAGAGCATGAACAGGGGAGGGGCAGAGAGAGAGGAAGACACAGAATCTGAAGCAGGCTCCAGGCTCCGAGCTGTCAGCACAGAGCCCGACGCGGGGCTCGAACTCACAGAGCGTGAGATCATGACCTGAGCTGAAGTCGGATGCTTAACCTACTGAGCCACCCAGGCGCCCCGAAAAATGGAGAACATGGGCCATGTGCATCACATACTTAGCTCATTGAATCCTCACAGAAGCCCAGCTACATGGGTAATTGTCACCTCCATTCCAAAAAGGAGGAAATGAAGACTCAGAGATAGCGAATAATTTGCCCCCCGCATTTCATCTAACTAGGAAGTAGGCCCAGTTTCCTCCGCTATAAGGTAAGAATAATTCTTCCAACAACAGTAATATTTTAGTTCCAGGCGTATAGTCGTTGTTTAGTAACTATTATGCAATCAACAAATATTTATTGAGCACCTACTACGTGGGCCCAGGGCCACCTGTCTCCAAAGTCCGTGCTTTCCCACTATGCCCTGCTTCAAGAGAGAATAAAATTAACTTGCTTCAAGGAGGAAGACAATGACCCGGGCTGGGGGGGAAGTAAAGGCAGTCTCCCCTAAATTGTCAGAAGCCCTGCCGGTGGGTGCAGGTGTTTTTCAAATGCAAAGCAGCGGTGCAGAGCGAAAGCCTTGAGGACATCTGGACCCACTACTCAGAAATTAAGGGAATTATTCAACATGCAGGAAAAGCTCTAAGCGTAGAGACTCACGTAACAGCAGTAACTGCAGTGTGAGAAGGGCTAAGTGGCCTGAATGTCCAAGGCCAGGGGTACTGTCGTGGGAACAGCAGCCCGACCCGGTGGAATATGAGCCTGGACACAACAAATACGGAGACCAGAAGCCACACGGCAATGTTTTGGAAAAATAAAGGTGAGTGAAAAAAAGCAAAATAATGCCTAAAATTTCCCATACTATGATGATGTCTAGGTACAAATGGATACATCTGAATAAAAATAGGTGGGGGACACCTGGGTGGCTCAGTCAGTCGAGTGTCGTGTCGGAATTCAACTCTGGTCATGATCTCACGGTTCATGAGTTCGAGCCCCGCGTTGGGCTCGCTGCCGTAAGCAAGGAGCCTGCTTCAGGGATCCTCTCTCTCTGCCTCTCCCCTGCTCTCTCTCTCTCAAAAATAAATACACCTTAAAAAAAACAGATGGGAACCCAGAAAAGTGGAAGCGATTACATTAGTGTAATTAGTAATTACAGTTACACTATGGGCGGGAAAAATATTTCAAATTTTCTAAACATGGTGAAGTTGACTTTGTTTTCAATAAAAATGTACTTTTCTTTTTTTTTTAAAGTTTTTTTTTTAATGTTTATTTATTTTTGAGACAGAGAGAGACAGAGCATGAACAGGGGAGGGTCAGAGAGAGAGGGAGACACAGAATCTGAAACAGGCTCCGGGCTCTGAGCTGTCAGCACAGAGCCCGATGCGGGGCTCGAACCCACGGACCGCGAGATCATGACCTGGGCTGAAGTCGGACGCTCAACCGACTAAGCCACCCAGGCACCCCAAAAATGTACTTTTCCATTGCAAAAGTACTGAAAACAATATGGTACGTATTAGAAAGATTTTATTTAAATGATAATACCAGTGGTGGCAAAGGTGGGGAAAAACAGTTACCTCACAGCAGCAGGAGGAAACTAATCCCTCTGCTGAAGAACAATTTGGCCACCAATGTATATAAAAAAAAAAAAAACCTTAACTATTCTACATGCTTCTGACTTAGCAATTCTGCTTTAAGTAATTAATATAAGGAAATACTCTTGATTTTACACAAGCTGTGAGCTACAAGGATGTTTGCTGCCTCTCTACTTATATTGGTGATCGGTTTAAAACAACCTAAATTTCCAGTAAGAGGCCATTTGTTCCTTAACTTATGGTACTGCCATGGGATGGAATACCAAACAGCCATTTCAAAAAATGATATTCTTAGAAGGGTTTTAATAGCATGAAAAGATGTTCCCAATATATGCTAAAGTTTTAAAAAAGTTGCTTCAGATTCTGTCTCACTCTCTCTCTCTGGCCCTCCCCTGTTCTCTCTCTCTCTCTCTCTCTCAAAATAAACATTAGGGGCGCCTGGGTGGCTCAGTCAGTTAAGCGGCCGACTTCGGCTCAGGTCGTGATCTCACAGTCCGTGAGTTCGAGCCCCGCGTCGGGCTCTGTGCTGACCGCTCAGAGCCTGGAGCCTGTTTCAGATTCTGTGTCTCCCCCTCTCTCTGCCCCTCCCCCATTCATGCTCTGTCTCTCTCTGTCTCAAAAATAAGTAAACGTTAAAAAAATTTTTTTTTAAAGAAAAATAAACATTAAAAAAATTTTTTTTAAAAAGCAGGGGGGTGCCTGGGTGCTCATTCAGTTAAGCGCCTGGCTTCTGCTCAGGTCATGATCTCATGGTTCGTGAGTTTGAGCCCTACATGGGGCTCTGTGCTGACAGCTCAGAGCCTGGAGCCTGCTTCACATTCTGTGTCTCCTCCTCTATCTGCCCTGCCCAACTTGAACTTGCTCTCTCTCTCTCTCTCAAAAAATAAACATTAAAAGTTGAACCATCGGGGCGCCTGAGTGGCTCAGTGGGTTGAGCGTCCAACTTCAACTCAGGTCATGATCTCACAGTTTGTGAGTTCAAGCCCCGTGTCGGGCTCTGTGCTGACAGCTCGGAGCCTGAAGCCTGCTTCAGACTCTGTGCGTGTCTCTCTCTGCCCCTGCCCCACTAATGCTCTGTCTCTGTCTCTGTCTCTCAAGAATAAACAAACATTAAAAAAAATTTTTTTAAGTAAATGTCCAGGTTGCAGCCTTTATAATATTGGGATACATCTCTCGTATTAGGTTTATTTTTCTCTCATTCATGTGTAAATATGTATACATTTGTATATATGTTGTATAAAATATGTTTCCCCCTCCCACGGAAAGGTTAAAGCAACGCTTGATTATCAAATGCTGAAAAGCAGAAGCAGGACAAAACAGGCGCCCGTGATCTTACGGCCCAGAGAGAACCCGGTATAAGCTCTGGTGCATTTCCTTGGGGTCTTTTCCAGAGTGTGGTTGGAAAACTACTTGCTGCTGAGCCCACTGTGCAGATTCGATTCTGCAACCCCCGTTTCTCAAGTGACACTTTAACACAGGTGTTTCCCTTAACTGTAAGAAGCTTCTTCTATTTTGAGGAAAAAGAGAGAGGAGGACATTCCTGAGGAGCTTGGCAGATGTAAACTTTAGAAAACCCAAGCAGCAAACGTGCGGAGGTGAGCATTTGGCTCAGAATTGAAGGCGGGCGGGTCCTGGCCCTCCGCCCCTGAGGTAGGGGCCCTCAGAGCTGCTGGGACAGGGGCCCCGTGCTCCGCATCTGTTTTCCCCCAGCGGGGGAAGAAGAAACCACCAGAGTTATTTCTGAGAGGTCAGGGCTGATTGTTTCTCCCAGGAGGGCAGCTCCCCCCAGCAGGTTTCTGAGGCAGCAGGCGCCAATCCGGATGGGCCTGGATTCAGATCACCGACGGGCCCCTGGGCCTGCTTTCCAGGTGTCATTTTTTGTCTATAAGACGGGGGTCGATGATCGCAGTGGCTCACGCCTTCTGAGCATGTGACGGCATGCTGGCCGAACACCCCACGGCATCTGGACATCATTGGCTGACAAATGGAGACCCTGTGGCACCCGGTAGGGGCTTCACAGACGTTGGTGCCCACCTCTCCCTCTCCTGCTGGGTTGTGGGCTCAGGCGGCTGGCTGAGAAGGTGCCCACCTGGGGGGGGGGGCGTGATTCG